AAGCTAAACTTGACAAGTTTAAAGTTGGAGACTATGTGCTTCTCCAAAATGAAGAGCGCAACCAAACCAAATTGGATGCCAAATTTAAGGGACCTTTCAAAGTCCTAGAAATATTAGATGGTGATAGGTACGTCCTAAAATCCTTGACTTCCAAACGCACATACAAATACGCCCATGACAGACTGCGTAAGATGCCCGAACATAGTCCTGATTTAGAAGCGCCAATTGATGAAGACTTAGAGGTAGAGACACAAGACTCTGTCACTGACTAGTTACTTTAAAAAAAAAATAATATTTTGAATGAAAGGGTTGGCAAAGTGTTTTGTTTATTGTGGATACCACTACACAAGGGATGTAGTGATGTGTTATGTTTAATGTGGATACTACTTTCGAGTAATGAATACTGATGGATGGATACCACTACACAAGAAATGTAGTGATGTGTGATATTTAAATGTGTGTGTGTGGATACTGCTATAACGCTACTTATGGCAATGACTTCTGAATTCGTTTTGGATACTGCCTGACACCTGACATCTCTATCTGTTCATGTTCACTGAGTTTCTATCATAAGATTATTTTGTCTTCATTAATTAGTATTGATACTGATCGTGTTATGTAGTTACTACACTTCGCATTGTAATGTTTTATGTTGTTTTGTCCTGTTAAACCGTGTTATGCAAGAAATAGATTTCTATTGTTAAATTTGTAGATTTTGAAATGTAAGATTCTGACCTCATCGGTCAGGCTGGCCGAGCTTTACACACGTACTGCCCAAAGTTTATGTTGTTGCAGGTACCTCACACGAGGACGTGTGACTAGCAGGACGGCCGTGTCGAAGATCTTGATGGAAGCGTCAAGCGTGCTTGGGTAAAATCAGAGAGGTGTGACACATGTGGCTGTATGCAGCTGTAGCGTAATAGAGTTTGTGGTTTGATATTTTAGAAAATGGCAACACTGGTTTGACAATTTAGTATTTTTTTTAACTTGGCAAGATGAAGGGAATGAAGTTAACTTTTTGAAGAAGTTTGGCAGTTAGTTAGTAGAGAACGAACTTACGAGTCACACCTCTTTGGGATTACCGCGCATTTCCATCCGTGCAAAACTTGTTGATCGCTTTATATTTCAAATAACTATTATTGTAATCGATTAAAGGATAATTGTCTCAACTCAACTGGACATTTATTTTGAACCGAACCATCATGAGTGACGACGATTCTGAAGGCGCTCCGGAAAACCCTCCGTCATATTTATATAGATAATACACCTATACTCTAGGTAGGCGTGACGGCCTACATAGTTAAAATCGGGAATTCATAATACTTAGTGTTAATTTATACTTAGGAAAAAAATAATAATTCCTTGAGCTAGAAGGAAAATAATATCAAAATACGCAGTATTAAATTGACTACTGGTACGATAGTACATAAATAATGGACGTAATAAATGTTACGGCTAAACCTATCATAGGCATACACAACCCTTTGGAAGTGACGTGTTTTTGGATTATTGGACTTGTGATTTCAGCATTATGTGTGGTGTTACAATTTGTACTGTATGTTATAAGGCCGGATATAAGAAAACACGATCAGAAGATACTCACACAATTGACGATAGCAAGATTATCGAATACGTTATTTGAGTATCTTTTAGTGAACTTCTATCCATTACTGAATGACAGTGGCATAATATTCGCGGGTTACCAGTATACTGACACCGTCCTCGTGTGTTGGATGTTTGTCTACGCTAGAAAAATCTACGACAAAGTCGTGTCAGTGTTTGTTCTAGAATGGAACTTTATCAAACAATCTCTTGTGATTTGGATTTGTGCAATACCTATTGGATCATTGTATCCAATTCTTATGCAAGTAGATTTTTATACTGAATACTATCAGTCTTACGTGTGGGTAAAATTGTTAGTTTTGTTAGTTAACCTGACTTTGTTTTTTAGAGTTATATTAATTGTAATATATAAGAGCTATACAGGCAATGCTAATAGAAATATCATAGATATAATGAAAACGTGTATTATATCATTCATTTTGGTATGTATTACTAGTTTGCAAGCATTGTTACAAGTAGTTTTGACTGATTTGGTGACGTACATTGCAGAAGGAAGTGTTTTCTTTGTTTTGAACGCATATCAAGCGGTTGCTGATACTATTATTTTTTTGATTCTTGCCAAGAATCGTGTTAATTAAATTTGTTCAGTGATATCTATATTTATATGCTAAGCTTCTTTTTTAAGTAGTTTTTTAAGTAGCTTGTTTAAGTAGTCTTTAACTTTTGCGACGTTTTAACAATATTAAATTATAGTAAAATATAGTTTATTATTGTAAATTGTGGTTTTATTAATTATTTGTTTGCGACACTATAACGTAAATAATGTTGATATTGGATTTTTCCTGCTCCGGATTCCTTCCACCTAAGAATGACCTTTTCAAAGATATTTCTATAAGAAAAGGTATGTTGCATTTAAGGAGGATAATCATAATTAAAGTAGTCGTTTAAGAAACTGTTTATTTATTTAACACAAAACAATAACATAATAATAATAAAACAATTGACATAATATTAATTTACAATCAATGGTGATGATGATGGAGGTGGTGGGTGCTGTGTTTCACGTCTGCGTGGAACCTGGGGTTACAAAAAAACGCAATGTTACTGGCGTCTCGGAATATATATAAAAATCCACGATAACTTGAGTGAAAAGACGCATCTATTGGCATATACTAGGTACAAAAACAGACTTTAAAAAATTAAAAATGGTCAGGAGTCAAATGCTACTCTTGGTATAGTATTAGCGCGCTAGTACGTGACTAGCCTCGATTAATTTGATAGTAGTACATCAACGCACACTTACCCAGTCTTTTTATCAGCTACATAGTGGACATGTCTGAATTTTCCATCGGGCTGTTTGAAGGAATAGTGTCCTTTGACGACGTCACCGTCGCGGTGCTCATGATGTTCCTTATGATCACCGGTGTGACCGTCCTTCACCTGGTATTTGTACTCATATTTTGGATGCGTCTGGAAATGTTATAATTATTATAAATATTTTATCAGTTCGATTCCACACGCTACTGGCCATAGGCCTCTCTTTACAGTATAGGATTTTGAAATCGTTACTTGAAGATATATATTTTGTCACCCCTCTATAATCTAACTCAATGAGCTAGACTAGATCATGATCACCTTAGAAATGGTTGCTCAATATTGTTATACATTATTGATTAATAACAGCTACAATAATATTGATACGAAAGTAATTAAATTAAACGATGGAAAATAACGACACAGGAGAAAATCCTAGTGTGTTTTTTTTAAAGATAAAAAATTAAAAACTTTCTACTTACATAGTAGTCAACGTGGTGGTGATGTCCATGGTGGTCGTGTATGTGCACGAGATGGTGGTGACCATCATGCTTGTGCAGGTGTTGTGATGAATAAGCATGATGAGCTGACGCCATCGCTATGATTGCTAGTACGCACAATATCTGTAATTAAAAGAGAAGATGTTGATAAAGTCGATCGAAAAAGGATGTAAGATAAAAATATCGGCCTATTCCTACATTATAATTTAAGACAGAATGACAAATTGGTAATTGTATAGGAAAAGTTATCACACACTGAACATTTAGTTACTAATTTCAGAGTTTGTAAACTTATTAATAATTTTGAAGCTAAGTAAGAAATATTCATATCATTTTACCTGAGAGTACATTTTGTAGTGTATTAGTTGTACTTTTGTCAGCAATAAACTGATACATATCGACAAAAGTACTTGACTTTTATATTGAAAACAAAAGCAATCAAGGTGCTATGTAGATTTCACCTTAATTGATTGATGGCTATTAAAATTATTTACGACAATTTTGTACGCAACTACTGTATTTGTAACAATTTCGTTTCTAAAATATGCCTATGAACCTTACGCAATAAAAATGTGGGCATGTGGAGGTATATACAAAATTCATTCTCTAATACCTTGATGACAATTGATCATAGTAAAATCCACTTGTCGGTTAAGAGATCACAAATAAACATGTCATCAACATGATGAATATTTTAATATATTCTTACTAAATGTAGACATTTCACAGGCACAATATAGAAATTGCGTCTGGTGCATCGTATTAGAATCGCCTGTGGTATGTGGAATTTTCGGTCTGCGTTGGCGTAATAAAGAGTGAATTCCAACCGTTCTCTCTTCTCCAACGGGCTATCATTATCATCGTCAGATCAGCCATTGAAGAACGACACTACTGGATATGAATCCGTACCAGATACTTTCCAAGACAGTAATCCGCTAGAAGTAAATTACATTTTTTCAGATACGGTATCATTACCTACGGTTCATGCAGACATAAAACCGTTGCTTTCATTGCACTTCGGTTCAATCAATATGACACCTATTTTTCATCAGTAGGTTATGTGTTTAATATTGACAAACTGACAAGTAAAAATTTTGATGTGTCAGTTGGTACTAGAATTTAATATAATATTTTGTAAATACCATGGTTTATTAAAATTTTAGACATAGAAAAGTCCTCATTATGAAGTGCAAGTATGCAGTTTGATGTACCTAATCTGTCCACAAAGTTAGGTTCGTTGATCTTATATATTATTTTCGTGATGCTTATTTTTCAAGCAAATATTCTTAAGACGAATTTTTGTTATAAATTATAGTTTCGATATTTGGTGTAATTTTGGATTACTAAAGATCGATGATAGCATTTTACTCGATACGTTATGAGTCCCATATTGAATTGTAATTTAGCCAAAATAGTAAAAATCATTAAGGATGTTGTTACGTGCCATTGTATTTGCTGACCCTCGACTATAATTGAAATCAAGTTTGAATTATTTTCTACACATTAAGGTATTTAAATAAAGAGACACATTATTATAAAAACACTATTGTTTTATTAAAAATATTTACAAATATTCAACAATCTTAAGTTAGAATGGCAATTAACATTATATGAAGTATCATATCAATGATGATGATGGTGTTCAGGAACAATGTGTTTAGCGTGACCTTCTCTTTTGACGTTAGCGTTGAATCTGAAACCAAGATACATAATTTATATAAAATAAACTATAACAAAATGAGAAGTTCATCAAAATGTTTAAAAGATTTTATAACTTACCCAGTCTTCTTGTCAGCGTGGTACTCCACGATCCTGACAGTACCGTCGGGCTCGTGCAGACTGTACACGCCCTTCACGACGTCACCATCACGAGATTCATGTTGGGATTTCTTGTCACCAGTGTGAGGGTCCTCCACTTTGTACGCAAACTCGTACTTAGGGTGTGACTGGAATATACGTTAACATGCATTTATATATAAGATAATAATAGGAATGGTAACAGAATTATGTTTTAATCTTACATAGTACTCGACGTGCTTCTCAGTAGCTTTTCCGTGGTACTGCTTGATGCTCTGTGAGGAAGAAGCGTGGTGGTGTTCATGTCCATGTCCTCCTTGGGGTTCTCCAAAAACTACCGCAACCACAGCGGCTAGTAAGAAGATCTAAAAAAGAGGTCAGTCGGTTTTTGAACTCTTTGAACGAATTTCGGGTGAAGAAGAAAGGTAGACACTCGTTAGTGTGTAGTTTGAAGTATTGCACTGTTGGAGAGCTTATAAAATTTTGTGAAGTCTAAAGTGAATAAGTACTTAAGTAGGTAGGTACTATGAAGATTAATTTACTTAATCCCTGAATTGGAATAACTTATTTATTCAGTAGTTAATATCCCTAAACATATAGTATTCGCTTGTTAAACGACGCCATCCCATTATTATTTGTAATAAATATTAGCACTTTGTTTCAATAATAAAATATTGTTCAATTTACCTTAGTGTACATGATTTTGGCTTTTGTTGGTTTTCTTGGAGATATGAAAAGCAACTGATACATTTTAAGGGCAAATTATGTCTTTTTATATTAATCGACTCAAAAGGACTGAATTAAAATTTTGCAATTGTAAAATGAACCTGTTGTACTTGTATGATCCAAGTGACATACTTAATATTTAAGTGACTATAATAATTATTCATTATTTAAGAATATTATAATATATTATACCCAATTGATAAACTGCCTCGTTGGTCGACTGGGGGCCAATTCTCAGTTTTAGAGATGGTGTCGAACTCGCCAAATTTTCTAATGACGTCATTTTTTCGACATATTTTAAAAGTAGCCATTCTGAGGATGTCGAATTCAACATTTGTCGAAGCATAGATATATTCGAAGGCTAACGTTAGAGTTCATGTCGAGTGCTTCTAAGCAGTAGAGATATGTCGATTGTAGAGAACCGTCATTTCTTAGTGAATTCGTTGAGTTTTGGATAGTGAAGTGTTGTTTTCTTTCGTTTTTAAACAAAATACGGCTTGGCATCTCATACCTACTGAAAATTCGATATAGGTACCTACTCTTTAATTTCTGCCTTGTATTTTCTTGAAACAACGCGCTTTACGTAAATAACAGACTGTAATTTGTGTACCCACGATGATACTTGAAACTACTGAAAGATCGATATCGATCGAATACCGAATTTATTAGCATTTTTATTTAGGCATATTTTCACTATCAAACTTATTATTTTTACTCGAAACGGATTTTGACTGAGAATACGGAATTCTGTCCAATTCGACATTTTTTGGTAGATATAGAGCTATTTTTAATAGACATAGAGATAGACTTAGAATCTCCATCTCGAGATAAATGACGAAAATCGAGAATTCGCCCCTGGTCGTAAATGCGACTGGCGAGGAAGGCGTATTAGTTTTAGTTTCCGGGTCTGGCAATATGTAAATGAAGTATAACGGTAAGGCACTTATTTTGCTTTCCTGGATTTTGCGTGATGTTTGGTAATAGGTTCTTCCTTATTAGGTACCTACATGGGGAATCATATCATAAATAGGGAAAAGTGGGTGTTACATTGTATACGTGGACGTTTGCTTACCCCTTCGGAGTTAGATGGTGATGATTATGTTCTTTAAAACGAAAGCATATTTTGAATATTCTAGTCTAATTTATATTATAACCTTCGTGAGACATACTAAAATAATTATTATGTTTTAAACTAGTCGAGTTTCTCGTTAATCAGTTACGTCATTAAGCCGAAGTCATAATAATTAAATACATTAAATATATTCTAGTCCAGTGCTACTAAAAGACGTCTATAACATACGTATATTACAGACTTTTAAGTAAAAGTCTGTAATATACGTATGTTATAGACGTATTTTAACGTCCTACCTAATCTGTTAAGTAGGTAGCTATCCTATAGTCGTAATCGCATAACTTCAGAAATGTAATAAAATAATTATATTTAAAAAAATCTTTATTAAAACAAAACAATTATAAAGAAATATTAATTACAAAACAACACGCAATTTAATTTTATAGATAATAGAAATCTGATTTAATGATGATGCTTCTTCGGCACTATATGGTGGATACTGTGCTTCACGTCTGCGTGGAAACTGAAAAAACAAAACAAAAATTAAAAAAAAAACAATTCTAATATAAAAAGGAAAACATTTATTACAATTATGCAATAGTCGTGGAAGATTTCAGCCTGGCGACATAACAGGTAAAACTATTAATAGAACTATTAATTAACTAGTTACGTAAATTGTGGACTATGTCCATGTTTTTATAGACTATTGTTGAACTACCTAGGGTTCTTTCGGGATATAAAGTTGCAACACTGTAATTGTTGTGGGAATATAAAATATTTTTGGCAAGATAATTTAATAAGACATAATGAACCTAAATATAGGCACAATAAGGTTCAGGTTATTGGCAATTAGTTTACTATAGTAGGTACCATAAGTGATTGCAACTTAATAAGTATAGTATAAAAAATGATGACTACGTATTGTGTAAGTTAGTGTCTGGTTAGAGGCAAGTACAAACACATGGATAAAGTTATCCATAGTATGTATTATACTTGTAATAGGTACTTATTTTTTAATTTTTAAATGTTACTCCACGCTAGGATTTCCTCATGTGTCGTGGGTGCGTTTACAAATATATAATATCACATACACATGACATGCAGACCCGAAATAACAATTTGTGGATCACACAAATAGTTGCACAAATAGGTACGGGAATCGAACCCACTACACGTTGCATGGCAGCCGGATGCTCAGCCACCTCGCCAACGGTGCAATCAATGGCCATATGTCATAATAATATGACCATTGCCATTTTTATTAGCTGTTAGCGCGCAAAAGTTCTCAACCTACCCAGAATGCTTGTCAGCATGATAGTGGACATGCCTGGCACCACCATCAGGTTCGTGCAAGGCATATTCTCCTTTGACTTGATCACCATGGCGGTGCTCGTGGTGTTTCTTATGATCACCAGTGTGATGGCTCTTCACATCATAACCAAACTTGTACTTGGGAGGTGTCTGGAAGTATAAAAGGTAGATTAGTTTAGTATAATTTCTCTGGAAATGGATGGCTTGTGAATGAAATAAAAGATGTCTGTATTTTAATCGATGAGCTCGATTCTGAAATAATTTTGTATTGGCAATCTACAAGTGCTGCATTGTCACTGGAACATTTTCTGGTGTGAATAACTTGATTATTTAACAGTAATTGTAGCTCAATTTAAAATTGCTGACTATAGTAATAGATATGGCACTAATTTCGTGTAAAAATGTTCTTCAAAGCTTACGTAGTAGTCAACGTGATGATGCCCATGCTTGTCTTTTATAACTACGGGCGTGTGATGACCGTCGTGTCTTAAGATGTGAATCGAGGAGTGACCATCATGAGCTGATACTGTTGCCACTACCACCACAGCTAGTAAGCATACCTGGAATATAGGCGATTCAGGAATAATATAGAAATTAACTAAAACGAAAATTAAACGACAACTATTTTGGTTTCGTCGACATGACATTAAACGTCATGTCCGAATAATTTCTCAAACTCGAATTTTCGTTCGCTTGGATTGTGCAATTAGAGTAGGGTTCCGAAATTTTAAACGTCAAACAGTACATCACGAAACTTCGTAATAATTGGAAGTGTAGTAGAAAATTAGTAGAAACTTCGTTTTTCGTAGAATCAACGTACGAACGTATGGGTTCGTTGATGACATTTAAAATCGTAGGTTGTTGTGACCCCCCACAAGCAAATTCATCAGTACTGTGTTATATATACGTCGATGCATTTTTGTTAAAATCATATTTTGGGTCGGATAATAATTATGGTATTATAATTGGAAAAATTGATAAGATCCCACAATAAATAATCACACTTCTAACTACTGAACCTAAGTTGTTCAGATATACAAAACACAATCACTCAGAACTTTTCACTTCAATTGAAACAATTTAGAAATTACCTTAAAAATCATTTTAGAGTCTAGTACTAGATATTGTATTGTTATCACTAAACGCGGTAGTGTACTGATGAAAATTTTCAAATTCTCAACTTTTATATTGAATACAAAAGTCATTATTTTATTGCGATATTCTTATTTTAGATCACGGTAGTAATGCAATGTTTGAATGCGCAAACTTATTTTTAAATATTTCGTAAAAATACATTTACACGCATGCGCGCAGCTTATGCATACAAACATTGCATCGATGATTATGTGAAAACATGATAATTCGATTAATTTAAAATTAATGGAGAATTACATACATAAGTATCAAGCCATCAATACGTAATATCAGTACTTTCTACCCTTTTGCCGCCGTCAAGTTCTTAAAGTGGAGTTCTTTTTTATTTTTGTAACATTTTCCAATTAATATGAAGTGTGGGAGAGCCATGGTTCGGCACAAATGGGCCGGCTCGACAGGAGTGATACCACGGCCTCACAGAAAACCGACGTAAAACAAAGCTTGCATTCTGTTTCGTCGTGTGAGTAAGGTTACCGGAGGCATAATTACCCCTCCTCCCCAGACTCTCCAATTCCCGAAACTCCCACAATCATTGAATTCTCAATTCCCAAAAGTCCCGTAACGCACTTGTAACGCCTCTGGTGTTTCAGGGGTCCATGGACGGCGTGGATTACTTACTATCAGGTGATCCGTCTTCTCGTATACCGGCTTATCCCATAAAAATTCAATAAATTATTCATTTTTCAGCTTACCTATTCACGTGACTGTTTGACGAGGAAGTGGACTGGTCTCAACATAATAATTTAGTACTAGCTTCTGTCAACGGCTTCGCCTGCGTAAAAATAAAACAGTACTAAAATGTATGTGTTACGCCAGACCTTAATCTAGCTCTGTTCTAAATTTCATTCCAATCCCTTTAATCGTTTTGACGTGAAGGAATAACAAACATGCACATTGCACACTTTCACATTCATAATGTTAGTAGCATTAGTAACTCAATTTTTTAAATGATTTCATTCTCACCAACTCAAAACTCATTAAAACCTGTAATATTGGTCCAGGTTAAAAATAAGTTTATTCTTAAAGACACATAACATAACATCACTTGCACTTGCGACCACTCGGCCAACGAGGCCGTATCGGCCCAGAAGCCAAGGTACCGCTTTTCAAGAATAAGATTGAGAGTTCGAGACCTGGCAAATACCAAATTAATTTATGAGTGGTGGGGGGCGCGTACACGTACGGAGCACGCTCCTGGTTAATATTTTTGTAAATTAGTTAATTGGGACTAAAAAGCTATCATAATGTGTTTTAATTGAACTTTATAAGTCAATATATGCCTGTGATATGGAGTACAGTGATAATTTTGTGAATTAATAACAATTTTTAACAGTTTTCTGTGTTTTAACAAGTGCAGTGACAATAAACAAATCGCGGGTGGCGCGAAGATTTGAGCCGCGCGTCGCGCTCTTTCACTCTTGCGGGAATTCACTGACTGTCTCGCTCGCACTCGTAAAACAAAATGAATTGCGTCGCTTGCGGTAGGAAACCCAGTGCAGGGGAGCTGATTAAATGTAATGGATGCAAAGCTGGATACCATTATACATGCGCCAATATTACTACGGCTGCTTTTACTGAAGGTCAGGTACATTTGAGACGTACTTTCAAATGCGATTCCTGCTCCAATGTTACCCAGCGAATTCGCGTCACAGACGACACCCCGGTACGTGGTGTTTCTGCTCCAACCACTGACTTATATGAAATGAACCAGTATCCTGAAGGTACTGCTTCACATGAAGAGTCGTTGACATCGGATCAGATAGTAGAAAAAGTGAATAGTATGATTTTAGCGAAACTTAGTCTATTTGAGTCGAATATTATGAAGGAAATAAGAAATACGGTGGGCACACTCGTATTAGAAAACAGTAAATTGAGACAAGAATTAAAGGAAGCTAATATAAAATGTATTTCGTATGAACATAGAATCAAAACTATGGAACATGAGAGGCAGACCCCGGTACCAACTATGCAAAGTATGCAATCTGCTGCTTCCGACGTTCTACCGTGTGACACCTGCATGAGGACAAATAGCATCGTGCGAGCGCCCGGGTCGGCCACCGCGGCTGCGGTGTCCGCGGCCGCGCTACCGCCTGAGCCCGCGCTTGCGCTGGCGCCCGCTTCGGCGCAGCCGCCGGCGCCCAAGACACCGCGCTCTGTGCAAATGCAAACTACCTATGCAGCGATGGCTAGGAAAACAGCGGATTCTAAAGATTACGTTAGTGGTTGGGTGGAAGTTAGAAATAAGAGGAGAAATAACTCCACAATAAAAAGAGGAGGTAATAACTCCATTGGATCTCTGAAGGCAGTTGAGCGTAAAAAGTTTTTACATGTGTGGAGGTTAGAGAAAACTACCACAGAAACAGATTTGAGGGAGTACATCAAACAAGTACTGGGAGTTGAAAACGATTCTGACCTATCTGTTGAAAAATTGAAACCTAAAACCGAGAGAGATTATTCTTCTTTCAAGATTGGTGTTTCTTTATCTAATTTTGAAAAGCTCTGTGAACCAGAAGTATGGCCAGTAAATGTCGAATACTGCGAGTGGGTTTGGTTTCGACCCTCAACCAAAGCTACCGACAACACAACTCAGTAAACACTCCAGGAAACATTTCAACATGAATATTAATATTTTATATCAGAATGTGAGAGGATTGAGGACGAAGACTACACAATTTCTATATTTGTTAGAAGCAGCAGGCTTTGATTTATTTTCGATCACAGAATCTGGCCTCAATGAAGGTATTCACGACGCAGAATTTGTGCTTCCTGGATATCAAATACTGCGCTGCGACCGAGCTGATGGGCGTAAACAAGGAGGCGTATTTTTAGTGGCCACACCGAGGTATGAGTTAAGGCGAGTGCCAGTGCCAATTGATGTAAATATTGACAATCAAAGTTTTGAACTTATTTGTGCTGCTGTGTACTTAAAAAGTCGTTTTTTATTCGCTTGTTGTACTGTTTACATACCGCCGAATACTGACGATAATGAATATATATTGCTGTTTCGCATATTGGAAAAGTTATGTGTAAAATATAAAAATAATTTACTTATACTAGGAGATTTTAACTTGTACTCGAGTAACAATAACATTTTTAATTATTACGAATATTTTATGGCATTCTGTGAATTCGTTCAGTGTAACGCGGTACCTAATAGTCACAATAGACAGTTAGACTTAGTACTGAGCGCGAGCGGGTCCGTGTCAGTAGGCGCAGCGGACGAGGGTTTGCAGCCGGTGGACGAATATCATCCGCCGCTGGCCGTCAGCGTCGATGTTGGCGCGCGCGCTGCGACCGCGCGGTTGCCATCGTCGCCGCCGCCAACGCCGCCGTCCCGCGCCCCTCCTGCGCCCTCTGCTCTTTCTGCACCTCACGCACACAATCGTTCGTCTCCTACACACACTTCTTCATTACACAATAGTCAGCTTGCGCAATCCGCGATAAATCGTGAATTATTATGGAACTTCAATAAAGCTGACTTTATTACAATGTACGACTTATTAGCTAAAATAGACTGGAGTGAGATGTATTGTTTACAAGACCAGGAATTAGTTATAAATTTGTTTTATGAGAAGTTATATGGCGTGTTTAATATGTGTGTTCCTATAAAAAAGAATAGTCTCATGAACAATAATAGGTATAAATACCCGGTATGGTACACAGCTGACCTAATTAAAGACATACAAATTAAATACAAATTGCATAAAAAGTACAAATCTAGTAAACTACCGAATGACTACATGGAGTTTGCAAGATATAGGGCGAGAGTCAAGGCTGAGATCGCACGTGCTCATGACATGTACCGCGACCGCGTTCAACAGCATTTGGTTAGAGAGCCAAGAGCGTTTTGGGAGTACGTTAGATCCAGGAGGGGGAATACAAATAATAGGAAATTAATTAAAGATGGGCGGATGCTAGCGGACTATGAGTGTGCTAATGAATTTGCTCGTTACTTCCAGTCAGTATATAACCCGGAGCCTCCCGTACTGAGCGCGGCGGCGGCGGGCGCGAGCCGTGCGGCGGGCGCGGCGGGAGCGGCGCGGGCTCACCTCGCGCTGCTGCGCCGCGCCGACGTGCGGACCGCGCTCGCGCGCTTGCCCCCTAAGCGTTCCGCTGGACCTGATGGTATTCCGGCCTTTATTTTTAGAGATTGCAGTGCAGTATTGGTGGATCCGTTGTTGCATTTATACAACGTGTTTATTCGAACAGCAACGTTTCCCGATCGTTGGAAACTCACTCGGGTAGTGCCTGTGCCGAAAGGCAGTGGTGGCACTGAAGCTTGTGACTATAGACCTGTGGCAGTATTGTGCACTCCAGCTAAAGTGTTTGAGTCGGCCATTCACAGCAGCCTGTATTCACAGGTGGGTCCTTTGCTGTCGGACGCACAACATGGCTTTCGTCCTGGGCGGGGAACGACTGGGAACTTGCTGGATCTTATGACACACGTTGTACCGGCGGTGGATGCTGGACAACAGGTGGACGTAGCCTACTTTGATTTTCGGAAAGCCTTTGATACCGTAGATAATGATATCCTTCTGTCAAAGCTGGCCAGTGTAGGCTGCACACCGCACACACTGACATTCTTCTCAAATTACTTGAGAGACCGATGTCAGTACGTCGACTGTGGCGGAAGTCTTTCTGAGCCCTACTTTACTAGGTCAGGGGTAAGCCAGGGAAGTAATTTAGGGCCCCTACTTTTCATTTTAACTATAAATGATTTGCCGAGCGTAGTTAATAATTCCACACCGTTATTATTTGCTGACGACCTAAAATTAATTTCAAAAATAAAACAAACAGAGGATCATTACATTCTACAACAGGATATAGCTAAAATTGAGGAATGGAGTATAGAAAACCGATTATTTTTCAACGCTGCCAAATGTTCCGTGTTATCGTTTAGCCGAGCTCATAACCCGAGTCATCACCAATACTGCATGGCCGGAAGGCCACTGCAGAGGGTCTTTGAGGTCAGGGACTTGGGTGTACGCTTTACTACAGATTTGAATTTTAGGACTCATATTGTGAATATTTGCAAAAAAGCTTACCGAAATTTAGGAATGGTATTACGTTTAGGTAACCAATTTACCAACTTTAATGCATTGAAAGCACTGTATGAAGCCCATGTAAAAAGTCATTTGGAGTGTAATGCCGTTGTCTGGTCACCGCATGAAGTCAGGTACAAACTGATGATAGAGCGTATCCAAAACAAATTTGTTAGATTTTTGTACTTGAAAATGTATGGTGTCTATCCGGGTTACCCGCTTTTATATCCGACTCTTTTTGTATTGGGCATGGTGGGATATTTTAAAATTGAAGTGAGGAGGGAAGTAGCTGTCGCTACGTACTTATTTAAAGTGCTTCGCGGCAAATTATATAACCCGAGGGTTTTGGAGCTGATCCATTTATGCGTACCGGATGCATACGCGGCGCGCCGGCGTAAGCCAGCGCTGCTGGCGATACCACGCGCACGCACCAACCTCCTACAGCGTGCGCCCCTGACGCGGGCGTTGCGGACGCTCAATGCGATGTCGGAATACATTGACTTATTTTATTGTACACTGAACGAATTCAGAAGAGCCTGTTACTGTACCTGTACCCATCTGTGACTTTGCTTAAGGAATATGTTTGTTACCATAATTATGAATGTTGTAGTACCTAATTGTAGAATAGACTTGTAATTTAATTTTATTAATATTGGCATACACTATTGCATTAGGTATTAGTTCCTGTTAGGATAGTAGTATGTATATAGTTTATAAATAAATAAATAAATAAATAAAATCACGCCTTTTATCCTCGAAGGGCAGAGGTGCACATTATACCACTGTACAATGTGACACCCACTTTTCACTATTTATGTTATGAGTCCCATGTAATAGGGGGCAATCCTATTGCCATAATACCGGGCAGAGTTCCAGGCTCCGTGCTACTACTGAGAATTTTTTAAAAACCCAGTAATACTTTGCCCGACCCGGGAATCGAACCCGAGACCCCTTGCCCGGCAGTCGCAATTGTAACCACTCGGCCAACGAGGCATTCTTAAAGAATAATTTTCGTTGTCGTTGATCCCACATTCTTGTGTCGTGGGTGCGTTTACAAACATACAAATTCACATACACATTTATATATGATTTATTTATTTACCTGATAACTGCCTCGTTTCACATTTGCAAGCGCGTCTGCGGAGTAATGTTGATATCAGACAGTTCTTTCATTAGGTATCTTTCACTCAAAATGATACGTCTGAACATGTGAATGAAATTAGAGTGCAGCATGAATTCATTAGTGAACTGATCTAATGATGTTGGATTATGGAATTCGGCATCATTGATTCCAAAACAAAAAATGAACTGTCTGCACAGAGTGAACGTTCACTCGGATTTGATTATCACATATTAAACTGATTCAGAGACACGACATCACTCGATGACATATTATTTTAAAAAACAATCAATGAACGTTCATTCCTTTGTCGCTTCACTAAAGTCGGCTAAATATGGAATGATAGATGAATAAAACATTCTTGGGGGTAAATATTTATTCGATTGAACCGTTTGATTACGTTAACCAGTTTGAGGCGGGCAAATTGACGGGTATTTCAAATCTTAAAAATGTAGTACCCGGGAGTCTGGAATTATCCAGTAGACTAATCTACTCACATCTAAATGTCATATAAGACCCATAACATAAGTAGTGAAAGTAAATATTACATTTAATAGACAGAGATGTGCTTATCTCTATTGAAATAAAGAAAAAGTACCGAGACTTATATCAAAACATTTATTAGTAAAAATCCATTATAAAAAAAATCCTACGCACAAATCAACAACAGTTTGAGTATTGAGTATTTCTTGGTAGTTCATAAATCGATTAATGGTGCTCATGATGATGATGGTGATGGGGCACAATGTGTTCTACGTGCACTTTGTAGTCGCTCTTGGTGTCGTGTCCGTCACGGTGCTCGTGTTGTTCCTTGTGGTCACCGGTGTGTTTGTCGTCCACCTTGTAGGCGAATTCGTATTTGGGATGAGCCTGGAAAGGATAAAATAGTATGAATTCCGTTTTCTTTCAAGATTAACATCGATTTTTCAAAAATGTTGTTTTTTTATATATTAGATGGAACTGACGTTTGACCACTATCTCGCCTGGTGGTAAGCGATGATGTGGCTTACGATAGAGCACGTTAAACTTGATATCTTTGTTTACTATTTTCTTAATTGAACCACAAATATACATTAATACGATGAAAACATTACCATTTTTGCAATAATCTAGCAGCGACGTAATATCTATTTTTCAATGAACACTTCGAAACAAATTAGGGCTTTAGGTTACGATAGCGAATTTTAAAATATCAATGAATTGATCTCTAAGCTGCAACTGTTAGTCTATCAAAAATATAGTTGTGTTACTAACGTAGTAGTCGACATGGTGATGTCCGTGTTTATCCTTGAATTCCACAACCTGGTGATGTCCATCATGTCTATGGATGTGCTGGGAGGAGTGACCATATTCCGCTGAGACAGCCACTGCGGCAACGGCAACGATGCATAGGACCTGGTGAAATAAGGAACACAACTCCTGTATAACCTACGATTGTTAAAATTAGCAGTAGAATGATAAAGGTCCTACAAGAATTCAATTTTTTTTTAAATCTATGTTTTTGAGACCGGTATTTAAAACGATACCTTACCTTGAAGTACATTATCAGTTTGATTTGATTCAAAGGTTGGGTAGTAGTTGATGAAGCTGTACTATTCGTACTAGATCCACTAATGAACTGATACACACTGGAAAAAACACGTTGCTTTTATATAAAAAACATAACAACCAAGGTAACATTGATTTCACTTTGAATGGCCGACACTAAAAATTATTAACGATATAATAATTTGGATTGTTTCGTAAATTTGGAGCTTTACACGCCTACACTAATTGCTTAAGTGACAACGGAAATGCATAACAATGTTATGAGAGAGAGGCAAATGTAATTAAGGAGGTAATTATACTAAAACTTATTGTATTTTTACCCAACTGTTTACGTTACACTTTGTTATCTGGCGACATTTCATAATTTTAATGTAACAATGTGAAAATAAAGTAGATAATTAAATAGTTTGCTTTATTTTTGTGAACAAAACTAATTGTAAATTACACTAGTTGATACAAATCGCTTGAAACTATTGCTTTTTTATAAAATAGAACAATGCATACTACGTGTAGGAAATCCTCGAAGATCACCACGTACGTATAATACGTACGGATGATCGGTGATCTTCGGGTACGTAACTATACCTAATTTTTTAATCCGTGCTAAACAATCTTAACAAAATTAGAAGAAGAATTTTAAATTATTATAAACACCGATTTAAGTGATGGTCAGCAATATCTTCTTCTTTTTATTTCCTGAGCCAGATTATAAGCCCAAATGAAAAATGTCTGTTTTATCCAATATGGGATCAATTTGTTTATCATAATTTTTTATTTGGAATTAAGGTTGTATTATAGAATAGCAAATTAGAAACACAGGTTTCGTGTCAGAAGCACGCTTCGATATAAACGCAGTAGTGTTAATGGCTCCATCACACGATATTACTATACTATACACATTTTATTGCTTCTTCGGTCATAAATATAATTTATAGCGACTCGTTAGATACTTACTGCAATTTTAATATACGTAATATTTGTAACTGACTGCTTCGTTGGCCGAGTGGTCGCAAGTGCGACTGCCAGAGGCCTGTGGTCTCGGGTTCGATTCCCGGGTAGAGCAAAGAATTAGGTACTGTGTTTTTTAAAATTTTCGGTAGTAGCACAAAGTCTAGAATGTGCCCGGTATATGGCAATAGGCTCACCCTCTATTAGATGGGACTCATAACATAAATAGTGAAAAGTGGGTGTTACTTCTGTGTGCACCTATACCTACCCCTACGGGGATAAAAGGCGTGATGTTATGTTATGTAATACCTATTTGTAACGTAATTTGTATCACCCACCTAGAAGGAGGAGAGATAATGAGTATTTTCCGATCCAGTATAGAGTTATACAAAAAGGTAGAATAAATACCGAACAATATTATAGACATTCTACTTCTCTACCGAACTTTGTTTATTTACCCGACTCAATATAGGTAACATATGAAAATCACAGATTTCCAATGCATATTTCATTTGCACTGAAATTACTCCAAGATGACTGCACGGTTGGCGCGGTGGCCGGGCAACACTGGCTATCGCGCAACGTGGCGCGGTTCGATTCCTGTACGGAATAACTATTTGTGTGTCCCACAGATTGTTGTTCCGAGTCTGGGTGTCATCTGTATCTAAACTTGTGTCCCAGTGTAGGGCAACGTATTTTTTTCAAAAATAAATGATAATAATATCGTCGTAGGAATAAACATTCTATAGAGCCCGGTAGGCTCGCTTTCTAATTAACATAAATCGTGAGACTATGATCTACGATCAACCCATCTGACAAGCGAGGTGTCACTGAGGATTAAGACGCCCGCTTCTCATGTATGAGGGAATTTATGATGTTTAGAACATACGAACGGCAAGTACCAATGTGACTTTTTCCGAGTTATGTATACTTTCTAAGATTATCTAGACACCAATGACAATAGGTGAAGGAAAACATCGTGAGGAAACCTGGGCTTATAATTTCTAATTATAAGTTTGTAATCTCCTGCATTGAGCAAGCGTGGTGATTAATGCTCAATCTTCTCCGTGTGAGAAGAGACTTTATTCATTAGTGGGCATTTATACGCTGTTGATGATCGTAATGATGCTGACAAGCGAGGAAATTATGTTTTTTTGAAATGTAGAAAATAACTATAGTCTAACAGGGAACTGTCGCTGCTTGCTGATGATGCATCAAAGAAGCATGGTCCACTGGCCAGTGAGTTTAGGAAGTTAGATCTTATGAGAGTTACTTCATATGTGGGTCGTGATTCTTGTCTAGGTCCAATGACTGTGACGACTATCAGTGAAATCATCACTGAGGCAACTTGCACCAAATACTTGATAAGGTATTTTTTATCTATTCAGGCATCATTGGAATTATTATAGATAATAAAATTAGCATAATAATAATTGTTTTCCTGATACAAAATAGGATTTTTACTTGTATAATATTTTGATTTTTTTTTTCATGATAATATGGATGTCGGATACAGGCCAGTGCCTGTAAGCAAACATCGGATATAAGTGACTCAAATCATATTTATGCAAAACAGTACTTTAAATTCATTGTAAATGTACCTAACTAATATTCTTTGACCGAAAAATAAAAAAAATACATTTTTGTTTATTTATCGCACATTATTAAAAAAGGACTTATTGACAAAAAACACTTGTGAAAACCAATGTGGACTCTAATATAAATAGTGAAAAGTAGTTGTTATATTGTACAGTGACATTAAGCGCCGTAATGTGCACCTCTGCGGGGATAAAAGGCGCGATGTTTTGTATGTAAGTAATTATTTGCTGTAAAGCGTAATACGTAACGACGAATTAAGTCAAAAAATGTATATCTGTAATTCTTTAGTGTGACAATTAATTATCGGAAAAACAAAAACCTAAAACCTAGTTAATCAATAAATTAAACAAAAAACACACGAATGTTATAAAAATTATACGATTTAATAATATTTTTTTAAAGTTAAATTCGTATGCTGAAAAATTAGTGTGTTTTGTTTTAACGTACATTCATTACCTTTGATTAAGTAAAAGATAACAAAGTAATTTATGATCGAATTATCACGCTACCATACTGAGTTATATAGTACTAATAGTGAAACCGTAGCAGGAGATAATTGGTAATAAAACCAAGCAATTTGAAGATTGAAAAATTAGAGTTATTTTTCTGCAATCCGGTTATTTGATGTAATTGTACGTACCACAGATATATTACCGTACATAATTGCCATGATAGATGATGTGTTTACTAACAACTTTAGAAATAACTTAGAGGACTTTGAAATATGATGTCTTGTTCCTATATAGGTTACCCTACGATAAAAACGTTGAATTATTCAGCATTTTTTGGTAGTATCGTTGATAATTATTATAAAACGTGCGCAAAAATTATAAAATAAACGTGAAGTTTTTATTTTTTAAAGTAAAACAAAGTAACAAATGTGTGGTATACATAACAAAGTAAATGAGATAACATTTTTATTTGGTAAACGAAATATGAATCAATAATGATGATCATGATGTTTGGGCACGATGTGGTGGGTGCTGTGTTTCACATCGGCGTGGAAACTGAAGACAGAAAGAAGTTCTTATATAAAAAAACACATTAAATAACAGTTCGTCAAATGAGTAACAATATCTGTAGGTACTCTCTACAGTTGTGTTGTAAGTTCTATTAATTATTTTTAAGTCTTTTCTATTTATAAATGGTATTTTTTTTAAGGGGGGAAAATCATCGAATGACTGCTCCCGCCTGGGTGAGGCGGAAGGGAGTGTCAGACTCTTACTGACTAAAAACCACCCCGTTCCTTCTCTTGCACGTCGAGCCGGAGCCCCGGTTACTCGTTAGGTTCTCCGCGACATTTATAAATGGTATTGAGATTCCTTTGAGATTTCTAGAGAACGACTAGAGAGAGTAGTCACTAGTCAGGTGCAAGATGAATAAAAGCAAAGAGCAGAACAATTGCAAAGAATATTTACCCGGAATGCTTGTCGGAATGGTAGTGCACGTGTCTGATGGAACCATCAGGCTCATGCAGGGAGTAGTGACCCTTGACGACGTCACCGTCGCGGTGCTCATGTTGCTCCTTATGATCTCCGGTGTGACCATCCTTCACCTCGTACTCGAACTCATACTTGGGATGAGTCTAGGAAAACAATCAGAAACATAGGACGTAGTGAGTTAACAGGTGTGTATATCTATTGTCTATCCCATAATTAGAATAGATTAAAGTTTAGTCTACTTTGAGGAATAGATAGATAATGAAGTTATAACTAACATAATAGTCGAAGTGATGATGTCCATGTTCGCCTTTGACTTCTACGGTCTCATGGTGTCCATCGTGTTTGTGGACATGTTGTGATGAATATCCATGCTCAGCTGTCACAGCTAACACACACACTACAGCCAAAAGTAGTACCTAAGAAGTAGAAAAATAATAAAAATTATTATTATCTTTGGATTAATTATTATTTTATTTTAGTAGCAAATAGATAATAGAAACATAGAGTTAAATATAAACAACACACATAACATAACATCACGCCTTTTATCCTCAAAGGGGTAGGCAGAGGTGCACATTATACCACTGTACAATGTAACACCCACTTTTCACTATTTATGTTATGAGTCCCATGTAATAGGGGGTGAGCCTATTGCCATATACTGGGCACAGTTCCAGACTCCGTGCTACTACTGAGAATTTTTTAAAAACCCAGTAATACTTTGCCCGACCCGGGAATCGAACCCGAGACCCCTTGCTCGGCAGTCGCAATTGCGACCACTCGGCCAACGAGGCAGTCATTAAATATAAAGTTACTAGAAAATATAGAATGTACCTTGAACAGCATTGTTTATTAAAGCGATGTGTTTGCCTGTACGTAAGACAAAGGGTGTTTGAGTAAACTGATACATGTTACAAAAACAACTTGGCTTTTATACTAAAATATAAAAGTACCAAGGTGGCGATTTCACTTAAAATTCTTCGGCATTAAAACGATTGCGCTAGATTCGATATCCATAATTCGATAATAATGTCGCAAAAGATGCACGTTATGATACGTTGGCGTTGTTAAGAGTCCGTTGCAGTGTACCATGAAGGTATGAGGTAGTCTATATTATTAACCAATTAGGTACTGTTTGCGAAATGAGTTCACTCTTACGGGTTAAGCGATCCGTTAAATGTCCTGTATTGTGGTCGTTTGTAACAAATTGTGTTTATTGGGTTTGTTTAGGTACTGGTTATCTTAAGATTAATAATAATGTGATTATTCTTTTTATACTAACTATCTTGGGATATGCTGAATTAACTAAACATTTCTGTAACTGACTTAAATATACTGAGAAAATCTCAACTAGTTTCGAGTCACAGAGGGACTCTTCTTCATGAGCAGCGTGCGCGGTCGCGGTTATGTCGTGTAATTTTTCGTTCATAATTTTTGGTTAATATGATTCGATAATCAATAAAATTATGCCTGGCTAAATTCTGGATCTGCAGATAGGTGACCTATTTATCAAACTGAATATGCAAAAGATAACACTATGAGTTTTTTTAAGAATCTTTATTTACAAAAAAATCACATAAAACAAATCAACAAAACATTGAACAAAAGTAATCAATAATAGTTATTGTTTAGTGATGATGATGATGAGGAACGATGTGGTGAATGCTGTGCTTCACATCCGCATGGAAACTGTGGAGGAGAGAAAACAATATAAAAATACAAATAAGAATTCATTAAAAGTATTTAATGATCTAGGATAAAAAGTAGAGTAAAATTAGTTGTGACAATTTAATTGATGGTTAGAGATCGATTAACGAACATAGTTAGTCATTTTCATTACATTCAGACTTAAGTCAAAACGGATGGATGTTCGCAAAATTATCTATATTAGGAATGTAGGTTTGGTATTTACAATTGTCTTTAACACGATGATAACTCCCATGTGTTATAGAAAAGTGTTATACTACACCGTATAAATTTTACAAAAAATCTCATTAACAAGGTTGCGATGCAATTCAGACCTAATTTAATTGGGATAAAGCTAATAATAATTATGAAGATACATACCCGGAATGTTTGTCAGCATGGTAGTGGACTTCTCTCTCGTGATGGTGGTCTGGTTCCTTCAGGGAGTAATGTCCCTTTACACTGTCGTGGTGACGATGCTCGTGCTGGGACTTGTGGTCGTGGGTATGAGGGTCCTTTACTTTGTACCCGAATTCGTATTTAGGATGTGTCTGTAAGAGAAAAACGGATGTATGACATTTCGTTTGATTAAAAGAACAATGGTTCTTTGAGAGGCTTAGTTAAGTATCGATTAGTTTCATTAAAGGGATAGACATAGATGAATCTAATAGGAGCACTAAACTAAATTATTAGTTTAGTTATCAGTGCAACAGGCAAGTTTGTTACATGCCATTACTATTACATTTTGTGGTATCATTGACAGTGATAAAGTCTTTTTATAGTTTTTTAGACAATCCGAGACTTAGACATTAGAAATAAAACATTTGAAACTCACGTAGTAGTCGTAGTGATGATGCCCATGTTTGTCTTTAAATTCCACTTTCTGATGATGATGATCATGTTTATGGAGAAATTGGGATGAATGGGCTTCATGAGCGAATGCTGCTACTACAGCATATACTGCTAATACACACAGAGCCTGTAATGAAAGCAAAATAGAATTAGTAATTCATTGGAAAACTCTTTTTTTAAATGGACGAAGAAAAGAAATAGAAAATACCTTTAAGAACATTTTGAATATACTTGTATGTCAAGCTAAGTTTGTTAGCAAACTGATACTAATGCCTAGACCAATCGGTGCTTTTATAGTAAAAACTAAAGAAATTATTAAGAAATTATCTATAGGTTTCTTTCACTACGCTCGGCAGTTATTGTAGTTTACAACACTTTTATTGCGATTTCATATAGTTAATTTGCGTGAGCAATTAAACGTACGTCATATTCAAAGATTCGTTTAGCTTCGGTTTTGTTTTGTTTATCTGTGCTCACACGCATACCACTGGGTTATATTAATACTGGTTTAATTAGATAAACGATGTGGATGACTGCCGAATCTCGGATTCCCTGGCTACTCCAAGGCTCACTTCCTGCGACCTTCATCGGACATAGAAGATATAGACTACATACAAGTGGTTGTTTTATTAATATACCTAAATTGTCGAAATATCGAAAATTAAAAGTTTACAGATCTCAGGTGCAAACCAAGTCTAAACAATAATGACATAATTTTTGAAGTCACCGAGATAATTTGCAACATTCACCTGTGGTAAAGCAACTTTTGTAGTGAGAGGAAGACCACTGGCTCTCATTCATCATCAGCACCAATAGCGTGTTGTCATCGACTGCTGGACATAAGCCTCTCTAATGGCACACCATTGAGCTTGATCTTTGGATATCGTCACTCCTATTCCTCATTATCGTAAGTGTGGGAGAGCCATGTTTCGGGTCGGACGGGCCGGCTCGACCAGTGTGATACCACGGCCTCACAGAAAACTTACATGAAACAATGCTTCCGTTATGTTTCGTCATGTGAGTGAGGTTACACGGTTAGTCGAACGCCAAATTATCCCCCCCCTTCCCCAGCTCCTGAATCCCTAACAATCCTCAAATTCCTAATCCCAAAAGACTCCCTCTGACGTTCCAGGTATCCATGGGCAACGCTAGTTGCTTACCATCAGGTGATCCGTCTGCTTGTTTACCGGCTTATACCATAAAAAACTAGTTAAAACTACATTATGTTTTCCCAGATGCGGTCTCCACTCTACAACACATCTATCTCAACGGTCATCGATTTCTTGACAAATGTGACCGGTCCACTACCATTTCAGCCTGCTAACCTTTTGGGCTACGTTGGTATCTTCAGTTCACTGTCGGATCACCTAGTTACGGATTCAATCTTTTAGAGATACTCGAGCGTAGCCAGAGGCTATTCTCTCCATAGTTCACTTCTTCCATAATCAGTTTGATATCATGAGCTTTCGATAAAGTGTGTAATAAGCAATGGAAAAGATCGTACGAAATATTTTGTGACTAATAATCTTTATTTACAAAACCATACCTATTTACATAAACATAACAATTTGAGCATAATTATTTATATTAACATTACAATTAGATGCATGATGATAACGGTAAAATAACATTTGGAATCAGTGGTGGTGTTCAGGAACTATGTGTTTGGCATGGCCCTCACGCTTGACGTTAGCGTTGAATCTGTAGATGAAGGAATGATAAATTAGTTACTATATTGATAACTAATGTACATTAATTAAAGTTCTAGGATATCTAAAGAAACTTCTACTCACCCAGTCTTCTTGTCAGCGTGGTACTCCACGATCCTGACAGTACCGTCAGGCTCGTGCAGGCTGTACACGCCCTTCACGACGTCACCGTCGCGCGTCTCGTGCTGGTACTTCTTGTCACCGGTGTGAGGGTCCTCCACTTTGTACGCGAACTCATATTTAGGGTGGGACTGCAATATAACAAGTCAATCAATAAAGTATGCTATTAATACGTAACGTACAAATCCATTATTATTGCTGTTAGGTGATACATACATAGTACTCGACGTGTTTCTCAGTGGCTTTCCCGTGGTACTGCTTGATGTTCTGTGAGGAGGAGGCGTGGTGGTGGTGATCATGATGTTCCTGTGCAGCAACAGCTACGACGATGGCAACGAGGATGATCTATATTATTATTTGGATTTGAAAAAAAAATGTTAAATATTCGTGACTGTTCAATTAAGGGTCTTGTGTACAATATCTTGGGTAAAAAAGGTTACCGGCACTTCAATTTATAATTTCGTCATTTATACAGTAAAACATTAGTAAAATAGACATTGATTGTGAATTAAAATACATTTGTCTTTAACTACAGGCTGCCAATATCAAAAACGATACTATTGACACGTGTTCTAGTTCTAGAAATATTATTCTTTTTATATTTGTATCAAAATAATGATGAATGTAGTTTTATTTCAAATTAAATACCTTAGTAAACATTTTGATTTTACTTTATTTTACTTTCGCAGTTGAGCGATAACTGATGTTTTCCAAAAGTATTCCGAAGTTATATATACCAATACGAAAAATCAGGTTTGGAGTACTTAATAAAGTTCTGAAATGCATACCTACATGTTTTATTAAAAGCAGGTTTTTGAACCTGTTCAGGCTACGTACAAAATCTTTTGTTATCTTATACCAGTACTGTAGGTAACAGTAGCTTACGGTAAAATTAACAATAAAGAAATTCAATGTCTATAGTAATAAATACACCACATATATATGTATATCACATCTGCCGGTCAATTTAGTGGAAAAATGTTTCAGGGGATGTAAATTCTACTTTGTCGTAACAGATTTTCGCTGATATCTTTGATTAGACCTAAAATAATGGTGTCAAAATATAGGCATAGCTACTTCATTTAAGTAACAGGACTTCAAGGCCACTCTCAATTTTGCTTAAATTACTTTTCCACAACGGTCGAGAGTTTATACAGACCTGTAATTGTTGAAATACCTCATTATTTGCTTTATGTATGTACAACTCAAAACTGGATATGGTGTTGAATATAAAAAACTGACTCCGATTTGTTGAATTATCAGTTATCATACAGTTTTCGAAACGTATCAACGTAGCAGAAATACTAACAAAATGTTCACAAATTAAGGTACAATATACCTGTATTATACATTTTTAATTAAAAAATTAAAATGCAAGTCGTGACTTAAATATTTAACAATTGCTGAATATCTGGAATAATAGATTGCAATTATAATACCAGGGAAAAAATTTAATATGGTTATCTCACCACATTAATTTTTGTAATTAAGTCTCTTATTTTTGAACAGGTCCTTCTCATTGCTGTCGCAGTTGTAGCAGTAGCTGCACAAGACGGTCACCACCACGAGCACCACCACCACGCCTCCTCCTCACAGAGCATCAAGCAGCACCACGGAAAAGCTACTGAAAAGCATGTCGAGTACTATGTAAGTTGTGTCATATTGCTTTCAAGATCAGTAATATTTGTAAAACTTCAAAAGTAGAATACGAATCTAGTTGATTTAAACTATTGTTAATTTGCAGTCTCATCCTAAATACGAGTTTGCGTATGAAGTTAAAGACCCTCACACTGGTGACAAAAAGTACCAGCACGAGGCGCGCGACGGTGACGTCGTGAAGGGAGTGTACAGCCTGCACGAGCCCGACGGTACTGTCAGGATCGTGGAGTACCACGCTGACAAGAAGACTGGGTGAGTATTATTATTAACAACTACATAGTATTTTGAATTCTTTATTGTAAATTCATGACATCATTTAACAATGGCAAGCCTCATCTGCCATTCATCTATATATATATATATATATATCTACATATATAATAGCACGTGAATGTGTTTAGAAAATTAATTGTCATATTATTCAATATCACTTTCTAATCATCTATTTCTCATTAACAGATTCAACGCCAACGTGAAGCGTGAGGGTCACGCCAAACACATTGTTCCTGAACACCACCACCACCACTAATTCTTGAAACCAAACCCTTATTTGTAAACTTGACTTTATTGTTATTAATGTTAAATTGTGATACTTATTTTGTTATAATTAATTAAAATTGAGTAAGAAAACAACAACTTTTTGTTTGAATTTTTATCATAATATATTTATTTAGTTACTAAAAAGCTAATTGAATGAGTAAATAGAAAAACCAATGTATGGCTATCAATATCGGTATTAATTCCTTCTACTTAGACTAACGTTTCAATGCAAATTTTCCAAGGAACGGGAATTGCTTGTCTACGGTCATGATACCTTGATTTCCTACTGAGAGTTTTTCCATTATGCACGGTCCATTGCACATTACACATCCTTTAGCTAACTTTAACGCTAAGAAATGGGTAAAAATCTCACAATAGACACAGTTATTATTATTATTTTTAAGTTTTACGGTAGTAGAAACGAATGTAAAAAATATGGACGACTTTATATGGTCATAACTCTTTTAAATCATAGCGTGTACGCGAATTCACTACCACCATTTTTCTTATCACGCTACAAAGGAGGTTTTTAACATTAGAGTCGCCTCTCCTCTTATTTTTCTGGGCATTTCTGGTGCCTTTGACAACGCATGGTGGCCAATGCTACTCTTAAAACTGAAAGGTCGCGGCTGTTGTAGTAACATATCATCATCATCATCAACAGCCTATAAATGCCCACTGCTGCGCAAAGCCTCTTCTCACACGGAGAAGGTTAGAGCATTAATCACCACGCTTGCTCAATGCGGGTTGGCGATTTCAAACTTATAATTAGAAATTATAAGTCCAGGTTTCCTCACGATGTTTTTCCTTCACCGTTTGTCAGTGGTGTCTAAATAATCTTAGAAAGTACATATAACTCGGAAAAAGTCACATTGGTACTTGCCGTTGGTAGGTTTCGAACCCGCACCCTCATGCATGAGAAGCGGGCGTCTTAAACCTCCGGGCCACCACGACATTGTAGTTGTAGTAACATATATAAATTAATATACACGTATTTTCTTCACGGTTCCATTAAACTGAAGCTTGGTCATTGTTCTCGGACGAAGTCGTTATCAATGGGATGTCCTCACGACTCGGTTATTGGCCCGTATTTATGGAATTTAGGGTTTGATGATTTGCTCGCGATTCCCCTTCCGTGTGGCTGTACTTTGACTGGATATGCGGATGATGGCCTTTTGCTAGTACATACAGTCAAATACCCGCGCCGGCCTGGAGAATTTTGCTAAAGACTCTCTCAGTAGGATCTCGGGATGGGGCGAACGAAATCGCTTGACTTGTACACCCCAAAAAACTTACCAGCTATTGCTTAAAGGAAATCTAAAGCCGTGGCCGTCTATTAAATTTAACAACGTTTCCGTAAAACGAAAGGAGTCTATTTGCTATCTCGGTTTAGTTTTGGAGAAAAACTTTTATTTCATTGAACATATTAAGAAAGCCAAAAATAACTATAAACTATAAAGCATAATTATTATAATATTAAAGAATATATTAATGATAAAGATTTAAAAGAAATACTGTAATTAAAAATTAAATATATATATTTAAATATATAACGAAAAAAAAAAATTAAAATAAATGTTTAATATATTATAAATATATGAACCTACATAGAATATATAAGTACATTTTTCATTAATAATACTAATAGCATTACAAAATAAATTGAACAAAATAACTACTTATAACTAGTAATAAAAAATCTGCGATACATAATCTAAATAAAATTAGCGTCCTCCTCTCTTCTATGTTGCCGTGCCCTACAGGGTCCATACTGTACTATATTATTATGTAACACCTTATAAACATATGGAGTGCAATAAACGTATTGAGTATTGAGTATTGAACTTCTATGCGCTGACGCGAATTTCAAAAGCCACTTGGGGTCTATCTTTTCTTACGCTCAGGATCATATACGGAACAACCTACCTGGGATGCGTGTGCTACGGAGCACCTGTCTGGGCTGATAGAGCCACAATAGGCGCGGTACGGCGAAAACTTCTCCAAAGCCAGCGCATGGCCTTGATTTTCCTATGTAAGGCTTATAGGACGGTTAGCCCTGAGGCCCTACCTGTGCTCGCGGGCGTACTTCCGGTCGATCTTGAGGTGCAGCGACGTGCTGCTATGTACTACAATGCGAGACCTAATTTATCAGCAAGCTTTTTAGCACAACGTGATAGAAATAAAATTGGTAGATTGTTTAAGCCATTAACGGACGTTTGGGATGAGCTTATAACTGAATGGCAATGAAGATGGGAATCTTCTATTAAGGGCCGCCACCTATTCCAGTTCTTCCCACCCGTGCATGAGCGGCTGGAGAGGACATGGTTGGAGGTAGATCACTGTGTTGCCCAATTTCTTATTGGCCACGGTAACTTTAAAAGTAAATTGTTCTCATTTAAACTTATTGATTTACCATGGTGCCAATATTTGACAGTGGAGTTGCAATACGAGCAGTCCGCCCATCACATACTCTGGGAGTGTGATCTCTGGCAATATGAACGTAACACTTTGTTAAATAATTTAATTGTTTCGTCAGGTGTAGCTTATTGTATGGACCTTGTGGAATATAGAACAAATTTCCGGCCGCTTAGGCGCTTTTTGCCATACCTATTATTGGAAGCAACTGAAGCAAGTATAACAGCTCACACATAGGACCCACTTAGTTTTTAGTCGAATTTCCGTGGTGCTTGGCGACTGGGCTTCACCCAGTTGTACAGTTTTTTTGTGCCTTTAGGCTTAATTCATTCTGTCTCCTGCAGTAATTCACCGAGGGAAGTGGAAACTATCGTTTTTTTTTTCTCCTCTTATAGTATCTTCTGATTCACTTCGTTACGGAAACCAAGACAGTTACTCATGTCCCTCAGACGCGCTGGACTTCAGTGTTCCGGTGTTTTCATGGTTGTATCTACTATAGATGGCTTACAGGAGTTGCAGCGGTTTTGGGAGGTTGTGGCGATCTTATCCCATTAAAAGAGAAAGAGTTGCCTACACTTAACAATTCCCTAATATAATAATGTTCATGTGTGCTTACTTACTCATAATAGACAATGTATTAAATTAATTTGAGTATGATATAAATCACAACTTTAAATAGACTGATATAAAATAAGACTACCTCATTGGCCGAGTGCAAGCAAGGGGTTTCGGGTTCGATTCCCGGATCGGAAAAAGTATTGCACCTCTGCCTGCCTCTTTGGGGATAAAAGGCGTAATGATGTGTTATGTAGAAGTGAAAACAATAAATAATTGATTTGTGTATATTTTTTAATATTTACAACTATTTAACAACATCGGTAGCATTTCGACAAATTAAATAACAATTATTATTGTACTAAATTCACTGGTGGTGGTGGTGTTCGGGAACAATGTGTTTGGCGTGACCCTCATGCTTGACGTTGGCGTTGAATCTATTAAAATTAAGAAATGAAGAGTTAGCAAATAATAGTCATCTTTTACTTTTAATGGTAATAAAAGTAATTTTTTTTTACTCACCCAGTCTTCTTGTCAGCGTGGTACTCCACGATCCTGACAGTACCGTCGGGGTCGTGCAGGCTGTACACGCCCTTCACGACGTCACCGTCGCGCGCCTCGTGCTGGTACTTTTTGTCACCGGTGTGAGGGTCTTTAACTTCATACGCAAACTCGTATTTAGGATGAGACTGCAAATTAAAAATAGTTTAATATCAACTAGATTCGTATTCTACTTTTGAAGTTTTACAAATTACTAATCTTAGAAGTAATATGAAACAACTTACATAGTACTCGACATGCTTTTCAGTAGCTTTTCCGTGGTGCTGCTTGATGCTCTGTGAAGAAGAGGCGTGGTGGTGGTGGTCGTGGTGGTGGTCTTGCGCAGCAATGGTGGCCACAACAACAGCGATGACAAGGATGACCTGTTTATGATGATATATTTATGTGTTTATGTGTAAAATTTAAGTAATAAATAAAAATAATTACATTACAACTAACTTATAAATAAAGAGGGTTATCAGCATATACTACTGTCAGGACACTTGTCACACAAAGAAGACAAATAATAAACGTGGTCGATGTAAAAATTATATTAAGCTAAGGACAATCCTTAATGTAATGAAAGTAATGTTATCAAGTGCCATCAGTACATTTTAGTATAGAGCTTGTTTTGAGAAAAATGTTTGTGCTTGCGTGCTGCGAGAAAAAATAAAATTAATAATACCTTTGCAACCATTTTGAACCTTTTAATGCCACAGTTGAGTGATGACTGATATTTTCAAAAGTTAATTCAGAGTTTTATATACTTGCAAGCCAAAATCAAGTTTTGAGTAATAAAGTTCAGCAATGGGTTATTTTTTTTATGAGAGCACGTTTTGAAAACCTGTATTAATTAGTACAATTTTATTATTGTTAAAATGTATTGTTTTTTGAGGTCTGATTATGAATGTATTCTGTTATTCCAACATGTCTAACGACTTCTTTTTCTTATATAGGGAAGGTTCGGTCTGGAAGTAAACAGTCACAAGCTGTTAATGATGAAAGGACTTTTTCGGTATTTCTCAATATATGTTGAACTGTTTATGGCATATTAGGGGCTTAGTATTTAACTAGTGTTAGACGACGAAAATCAACTAAAAGAACGTCACTAATTAAATCTGTATTGTCTACAGCTCTAGCTGTCATGTTGACGAAGTCAACTGTCAAATGTGACAGATTAGTAAAGTTTCCCGCGCAAAAGTGGTTACGCGCGATTCTGGTGGGAAGTTTGAAGAGCATCACGCTGTGTTCTTTTAAGAATCCATTTAGAATAAAGTTTTCAGTATTCAAGTATTGAGTTTTACTGAAAACTAGCTACATTATCTATTGTAAAATTCTATAGAAATAGTGCTGAACTGATAATTATATGTCCTTTATGTATTATTGCACTACGAATTCAAGCTAAAAACTTGGACTCAATTTTTTTTTATGGTACCGGTAAACAGATAGGACTGCCTCGTTGGCCGAGTGGTTGTAAGTGTGACTGCTAGGCAAGGGTGTCGCTTTTGATTCCGGGGTCGGGCAAAATATTACTGGGTTTTAAACAATTCTCAATAGTAGCACAGAGTCTTGAAATGTGCCCGGTATATGGCAATAGGCTCACCCCCTAGTATCTGGGACTCATAACATAAATAGTAAAAAGTGGGTAATGCAATGTACAGTGGCATTAAGTGCTGTAATGTGTACCTCTGTCTACTTCTTCGAGGATAAAAGGTGTGATGTTATGTGATGTGGTAAATAGACTGTTAGTGAAACGTACTTTTATTTCATGAGTTCAAGGTTACACAGTCTGAGTTTAATGAGTGAGTACTGTTTATGCAATCAGCTGATTATTATTAAACCTGAAATATGTACTTTGTCACTTAAAACCTGATATTTCGTAGAATATAAAACACTGATTCTGTTTTGTAAGTTTACCAGTTACCTTCGATCCTTAGAACTTATTAACGTATCAAAAAATAAACAAAATGCTCACTAAGGTAAAAATTCGATTAAATATTAATCGTCATAAAAACAATAAAATAAAAACGAATAAAAAGTATAAGTTATTAATGTATTAAAATATCGTTTTATATATATTTTTTAAATAGTTCTTCTTTTATTTTCTTTTTTAAATTATTATATGAAGGTGCAATACTACCTCTATTATTATTTTGTATTATTTGACTAGGTACTTCTAATTGCCGTCGCGGTGGCAGCTGTAGCTGCACAGGACAGTCACCACGAACACCACCACCACGCCTCCTCCTCACAGAGCATCAAGCAGTACCATGGGAAGGCCACTGAGAAACACGTCGAATATTACGTATGTTTCTATAAGTAATAATGCAATAGATATGAATAACCAATGGCAAACATTATTGACCATGACGTCATCTTGTGTTCCAGTCCCACCCTAAATATGAATTCGCCTACAAAGTGGAGGACCCTCACACTGGTGACAAGAAATCCCAACATGAGTCCCGTGATGGAGACGTCGTGAAGGGTGTGTACAGTCTGCACGAGCCCGACGGTACTGTTAGGATCGTGGAGTACCACGCTGACAAGAAGACTGGGTGAGTAAATATTTTCATTGTTATTCCTAAAAGTCGGCAATAACCTTAATATAAAACTTAATTTATCATTTCTTCATTCACAGTTTCAACGCCAACGTCAAGCGTGAGGGTCACGCCAAACACATTGTTCCTGAACACCACCACCATCACTGAATCTAAAAATACTAAAGTTTTGCTGTTAACACCTATGTTTTAATTGTTATTGTTGTTACTTTGTGATATACTCGTTTTAACCAACAAATTTTTTTAATGATAAAACACTTGTTTACGTATTTTCTTATTTTTATTATATACGAAATACACGTACGTACTTTATATGTGTCTCTTTATGAGTTACACTGTGCCCGCGACTTCGTCCGCGTATCATATATCAAAAGTTAATTTTAGTCCGTCAAGACCAATTTTACTATGAAAGTTTGCCAGATTTCTGTAAACCCGTGTGTGAAAAACTACCAAAAACACTCCTTATATCTATTTGATTGAAATTCGGTGCAACATTGATTTGCAAATATATAATTGTACATACATACATACATAGCATCACGCCTTTTTATCCCCGAAGGGGTAGGCAGAGGTGCACATTTCGGCACTCAATGCCACTGTACAATGTAACACCCACTTTTCACTATTTATGTTATAAGTCCCATGTAATAGGGGGTGAGCCTATTGCCATATACCGGGCACATTTCCAGACTCTACTCTACTACTACTGAGATTTTAATTTTATATAATTGTTTTTACACTAATACCTTAGGAGTACTGTACAAGTAAAACCTGTCAGTGAGATTGTTTATTTTTTGCAACCACGATAATAAATTCATTACGCAATAAATATAACCCAAGTACTGAATCGATTTTGATGACATTTGTTACAGCCGTACAACCATAGAATATATCTTGGCAAAGACCTACTCAAAAACCCATTTCTACCAGATTTTACGCGGACGAAGTCGTGGGTAGCTAGGTAACTAGCTGTTGCTAGATAATAATAATTTGATTGATATGAAATAAGACGAATCACGAAATAAAAAATATATATTTCAAATCTAAAACATATAACTAAGTGTTATTTTAAATTAAATACTTTTTACTCCTCAGTAGATCACTTGGCTGACGATACGATACAAAATGTAACATCATTTTCAAAAATATTTCGACCGCGTTCCCTTGGGATAAAACTCAACCTATTCCAGACTATAATCTATCCGTATTCTAGTTTCAATTTTTTTTATACTTGATAGGTCGACATTTGGCCACCGACTCGATCCTTTTAGCTTCGACGTTATTGTGGAACAAATATACAATTATACGCACAAACACAAAAACTACCAAACTTTTACTTTTTTAATATTAGTAAGAAGAATGATTAATAATTTATAAAAACAAACTTGCAAGGACTGATAGCTGCAGAAGTCCTGATAAAAATGATCCTATTAATAGGATTAAAATGAACAAGTGTTAAAAATAAACGTTTTAATTGTAGTGTCTAAAAGTAATGAAGCCAAAGGCGGACATGGAAAAAATGATAACCACGTTTCACCCCTTATCTTACAGACAGTGATACAAAATTAGTATGTTAACCCAAACAAAGGCCATAAGATTTTTATAGTAATGAATCCTAACTCCTATATCTGTATTCTTAAAGTCCGATGAGAGGTACAATATTATTAATTATGTACCAAATTCAATATTATCTATTTCAATTTTCCAACTCGTCACTTATCTTATGATGCCGGATTTGTGTCATTGAAAATCAGTTATTATAATTTAATTTCATTATCGGAGAAGGACTTTCATGTACTTATATGTAGAAGTGAAAACAATCACTGCCTCGTTGGCCGAATGGTCACAAGTGCGATTGCCAAGCAAGGGGCATCTGGTTTGAATCCTGAGTCAGACAAAGTAGTACTGGGTTTAAAAAAAAATACTGTGGTTGTGGTAGCAAGGAGTTTGAAATTGTGCCCGGTATATGGCAACAGGCTTACCCCCTATTACATGGGACTCATACACGTTCCATTATACAGTGGCATTAAGTGCTGTAATGTGTACCGCTGCCTACCCCTTCGGGGGTAAAAGGCGTGATGTTATGTTATGTTTGGTAGAAATGAAAACTAAATAATTGTTTTATACAATTATATTTCTTAATATTTACAACTATTTAACAACATCGGTAGCATTTAGACAAATTAAATAACAATTATTATTGTACTAAATTCACTGGTGGTGGTGGTGTTCGGGAACAATGTGTTTGGCGTGACCCTCATGCTTGACGTTGGCGTTGAATCTGTTAAATAAAGAAATGAAGAGTTAGCAAATAATAGACATCTTTTACTTTTATTGGTAACAAAAGTAAGTTTTTTATACTCACCCAGTCTTCTTGTCGGCGTGGTACTCCACGATCCTGACAGTACCGTCGGGGTCGTGCAGGCTGTACACGCCCTTCACGACGTCACCGTCGCGCGCCTCGTGCTGGTACTTCTTGTCACCGGTGTGAGGGTCTTTAACTTCATACGCAAACTCGTATTTAGGATGAGACTGCAAATTAACAATAGTTTAATATCAACTAGATTCGTATTCTACTTTTGAAGTTTTACAAATATTACATCTTAGAAGCAATATGAAACAACTTACATAGTACTCGACGTGCTTTTCAGTAGCTTTTCCATGGTGCTGCTTGATGCTCTGTGAGGAGGAGGCGTGGTGGTGGTGCTCGTGGTGGTGGTCTTGCGCAGCAATGGTGGCCACGGCGACGGCGATGACAAGGATGATCTGTTTATGATGATATTTTCGTGTTTTAGAGTATAATTTATAATGATAGTAATACCAGCTAATAAATAAAGAGGTATATCAGTTTATACTACTGTTAGGACACTTGTCACTCAAATAAGACAAATGATAATCAGTTAACACGTCTTTGACATAACAATAATATTAATTCGAGGACTATTACTTTCAGTAATGTTATTAAGTGCCATCAGTACATTTTGGGGTAGTGCACATCTACCTCTATAATGTTAAAAATACCTTTGCAACCATTTTGAAGCTCTTAATCCCACAGTTGAGTGATGACTGATATTTTCAAAAGTTAATTCAGAGTTTTATATACTCGAAGCCCAAAATCAAGTTTTAAGAAATGAAGTTC